GCTGGGAGCAAGAGCACCAGGATGCTTTTGACAGCATCAAGGTCAGTCTCCAAGAGGCCCCTGTCCTGGCTCTGCCGGACGAGACGAAGCCGTTTAGCGTCGTCTGCGATGCCTCCGATTACGCCATCGGGTGTGCATTGCTGCAGGACGACACGGCTGGACAGGAACGAGTCATCTCATTCCAGTCCAGGCAGCTCAAAGCCGCCGAGCGGAACTACCCTGTCCATGACAAGGAGCTCCTGGCAATGAAATATGCCCTTGTGAAGTTCCGTGTTCACCTTCTGGCTTTGTGATCTACACAGACCACGCGTCCTTGAGGACGGCGACTAACTCGCCTCACCTCTCCCAACGGATGGCGAGGTGGCTGTCCTTCTTCGCGGAATATAACTTCCGCGTCGAGTACAAGCCGGGCAAGCTCAACGTGCTTGCGGACGCCCTCTCTAGGCGTCCCGACTATGAGTTGGCCCACATCACGCGGGTGACAACGGATCTATATGATCGGATACGCATGGCGTATCGGGACGATGAGGCTGTCGCGCCTATCGTCAAGTTCCTTAAGGCCGGAACGAGCGCGAAGTCCGACTGGCTCTCGTCGCGACAGCGCTCACGGCTCCACCGATATGAGTTGAAGGAGGGCCTCCTCTATTATCGGGTGGAGCCCACTGATCCTCCACGGGTGGTCGTACCCAACGACGAGGATCTGAAGTTCGACATCCTCGCGGAGGCGCATGACGCGCCCTCCAGCGGCCACTTGGGCCGCGAGAAGACCTTTCTGTCGGTCTCTCAGTCCTTCTGGTGGACCCACATGTACAAGTGGGTCGCCCGGTACGTCAAGACATGTGAAACATGTCAGCGGGTTAAACCCGCAGGGCACTCTTCGGCTCCACTACAGAGCCTGCCCGTACCGGCTGATTGTTGGAAGTCGATGAGTCTTGACTTCATCTTTGGGCTTCCCGCCGACGGACACGGCAACACCGGAATTTTGGTGTTCGTGTGTCGGCTGAGCAAGATGGTACATCTTGCTCCAGTTCCCGTCACTGTGACGGGCGAACAAACCGCAAGGTTGTTCGTCGATGGCGTGTTCCGCTATCACGGTCTCCCGGAGACGATTGTCTCGGACCGAGACCCGCGGTTCACTGCTGCGTTTTGGAAAACGATGTTCCCTTTACTGGGAACTCGTCTGCAGATGTCCACTGCGGATCATCCGCAGACAGACGGCCAAACAGAGCGCGTCAATCGAGTGCTCGAGGACACTCTGCGCAGTGTGTGCGCGGCAGCGCCACGTACGTGGTCGACGCAGCTTCCAGTTGTTGAGTTTGCGCTCAACAACGCGGTGCACGCGTCCACGGGGTTCACGCCGTTCTACTTGAACGGCTTCCGCCACCCCAGAGTGCCTCTCACTCTTCGAGGAAACACTGACTCCTCTATTCTAAGTGGGGGAGAGGCTCGGAAAGCCCTTTCCTCCCAGGTCTCGGATGTGAGGCCAGTTTCGCTGCGGAAACAGGTGGAATCCTTTATGGATACCAAGCTGAACATTGTCAGCAGGGTCCGCGATGCCATGGCAGCGGCCCAAGATAAACAAAAGGAGTACTCAGACAAACATGGAAGAGGAAACTTAAGTGTATTTAAAGTGGGGGACTTAGTGCTATTAGACACGAGGAACCTACCGCTAGACACTGTCAGCTCTGTCGGCAGCAACAAGCTGAAGCACCGCTTCATCGGACCTTTTGCAGTCCTGGCCAGACATGGTGCGTCGTACACCATCGACCTTCCAAAGTCAATGACGACGCACCCGACGTTCTATGTCGGACGTCTTAAGCGGTACTTTGACCCGCAGGGGGTTGCTGACTCGCAGACCCCCCTTGACCCAGCTCCTCGAAGCGAGGGCCGGTCACAGTCGTCGACGAGGGCGTCGGAGCAGGCACCCAAGCCTCGGTCGGGACGGCAAGGCTGCGGTCAAGACCGTACGCCGGAGGGGCTCCATACGAACGGACCCCGGCGCCATACGCCGAGTACGCTGAGTACGCCGGGTACGCACCATACGCGTACGTCTGGGAGTGTGCCGCAGGCGGCTCCGGACGTGGCAACAAAGCCTCGATCCGTCGGATCATGCGAAAGGCCTCGTCCAGATCGGACGAAGAGGCCCGGCGGTCCACCCGCAGGTGCAGGCTCGCGACCTCTCGCTCCACCAGGTCCAGGCGACCCGCAAGACGAGCGAGCTCGCCCTGATTCCCGGCCTGGGCGGCAGCATTACCGCCAGTCCCAAGGCCAAGTGCAATCTCAAGCACGAGGAGACGTTGACGGAGGCGGTCAACCTCAGGGTCCCGTGTCGGACCCGCAGTCGGAGCACTCGAACGAGAGTGGCTCTCGGGAGGCGCCGAGTACTCGTACTCGTACGAGGGCACCTCCGCCCCTGCTTGACCGGAATGGAGAAGTCCACTTCCACGTGGAGCGGATCCTCCAGGAGCAACGGTGTCGCGGGAAGCGACAGCTCCTCGTGAAGTGGAGGGGTTATGCCCACTCCGAGAACTCGTGGGAGCCGATTGAACGGCTCCTGATTGACTGCCCAAAGGCTGTCGCAATCTGGGAACAGAAGCAGCGGCAGCTTCATAAGTAGTCCGGGGCTTCTTGCCCGAACGGGGTACGGATGATGAATACATACCGTACCCGCGCTCATCGTGAGCGCTAGAAGCCGCGCGCTTCAGGATGTCCCTTGGCAGCATACGCTTGCTGATCAAGTGGGCAAACCTCACACGAAGATCACGCTGGTCCAGGATGTGGGACAGCTGCTGATCTTCATGGAGTTCCCATAACTCCGTGGGCGAGTACTTGAGAGTCTCCACCCACGCCCAGAACATGTCCTCACAAGAACTCCATGTGGGACAGTTCTCGGGCATAACCCAGGGGTATCCCCAAACAGGATAGAGACCACCCCGGGTCTCGGGCTTCTTACGACAAGTCGTGAAGTCCTTAAGGGGAATGCGGTGTGGCGCGAGAAGCACACACCGAGCAGCCTCCACGTTGTCGACGAACAACTGTTCTTTCTGAACAAGGGCTCGTTCATAGATGCCCCTAGAAGTGTGGCCGCCCACAAGGCCACGAGGAGCGACGAGAAGCTCTAAGAAGAGGTCAGCCCCAGAGCTCTCCTCGGGAGGCCAATACCCTCTTGAGTTGATGGCAGCTCCCTGGCTGACGGGTGCCGCCACAGAACCCCCACGCACACGCTGGGCAGCTTGGAAATCCTCCTGCTGCTGGTCGAGGTCATTCGAGACCTCCCGGGGCTCAACAGTGGCACCCTCCTCTTCCTCTTCTTCCTCCTTCTCCTCCTCTTCATCCGAGGAGCCGAAGAGACTCTGATAGGAGCGTCGAGTCTCCTTCTCCTCGCGGAGTGGAGACTTAGAGGCGGTACGCTTCTTTGAGAGCTTGGCGCCTTCGGCTTTAGAGGCCTTAGCGCGCGCAAGACCCTCGGCAAGCGAGAGACGTTTGCGAGGACTCCCTTCCTCATCGCCACCGGCTTTGGGAGTGCCCTTAGCCTTAACGGCCGGACTCTCAGAGCGCACAGAGGTCCTGGGACTGTGATCACCGTGATCACTAGCGGACGACTGCACGCTGTCTTCTTTGTGCTCACTGGGTACTGGGCTGTGCCCTCCCACAGAGCCCGCAGGAGCATCATGAGTGCTCTCGGACTCGGCATCGTCCTCACTGCCCGAGTTGAACTCACGTTCTACGAACCGAGGGTTCGGACGATTGTCTGAAGACGAGGGCGACGGACTGCGGCGCCTGCTTGCGCGCTTGTCCGCAGCCGCGTCACCCGAGGATCCGATCGCCTCGGAGGCCACCTGAATAGCCTCCTTAAGTGCAGAGCCTTTGCCGTGAGGCTTAGTGCTCTTGGCCTGCGCCTTACCGGCTGCAGCCTTGGAGCGTGTCTTAGCACCGCTCTTAGCAGTGCCACGAGGCATGTTAACGGTCGAAGTGGAGACCTTGACGAAGAGCGCACAGGTTGCTGCTCGAGGCTCTAACTGTAAAGTGAGCCTCCGCCGCGCTCGCGCGGCCGAGTCGATGGTTTTCGACTTTGAGAATGAGAGTTTGTGACGAACATCTCTTCATTCTGATTGGTCGGTAAACCGAACCTAAGTGGGGGAGGATGTAACGGGGTACGTAGCACTAAGTGTACCCTGGTTACATGAAGTGTGACACTTCATACTTCAGGAGTATGACATGTCATACTCCGGGATATTTGGTACAAGGTACCAAGGTCATTCAAAACCAACCATTGGTTAAATGACATTGCATTTCTATAGGTAACTGATAGTTTGTATTAACCTCAAACTTAACCTACCTATAAATATACTCAGTTTACAATCTACCTTATTTAGGTCACTTCGCTCTCTTTAATTAAAGAGGGGACCTGTGAACTGCCGTTCACTGAGAGTTTGTATACTCTCGGAAGATAACTTCCTCTAGCGCAAGGTGCTGTGTGACCCCGTCACAGTACTAGCTGGTACATGTATTAGGGGGTTGATTAACGGTAAAAGGTATTAACTTGGTACCAACACTAATGCAGCCACGAGGCTACACGAGCAAGCAATGCCTTATGTTTGCGTTGGTAAACTCATCACAATTTGATTGTACAGCTGCGGGCGCAGTTGAACGAAATGCAGCTTCTGTGCCAGAACTGCAGTTTCAAAAGTGCAACTGTCTTTATGCAAAAACAGTTTTGATAAAGCGCACCGGTATCAGACTATTGCTCAACCGAAAAAAATATGAGACCATTTAAATCTTTATTTACTAAAAAAAACTTGTCCATGGGTATGCTGATGATTACAATCAAACCATATTTCTTAGATGCTTACCAGAAATTGAACTGGCTTACTGCATCTCATGCGCAACAGTAGCATCTGCATGCACATCAAGTAGCTGTAGTAGTAATTATTAAAAAAAAAGCATAATGTCAATTCAAGGTTCACATTTTCTTCTCGTTAGCACTCCAAGTCTGTTCTTCACTCCAAATACCTGCGTTTAACGACCAGTTTGCCGTCTTCCGGGTTCAAATAGCCTCGGATCAAGAACCGCCCAAAGCGGTTCTTGCCCTTGCCCAGCACCGTATAGCGACTCGGCACTGGGTCTTCGCCGTTCTCTTCACTGTCATATTCCTCCATCTCCTCGTCCTCTTCAGCGTCTGACGCTGGCATGGGCAGAAACTGCAGCTCCACTTGATCTTCTCGGATCTTCACCAACTTGCCATCAAACTGGCGCAACTTAAAGAAACCCGCGTACTTGCCCGACACCGGACGCTTATCGTCCTTTCGTCGGGACTGCAGCACGCGGGTACGAGATGTGTATTCAAAGGGACTAACACTGTCCAAATTCTGGAACGCTTCGTCACTGAAGCCCCAGTTGCCCACGAAGCACGCACGTCGATTGTTCCGTATAGAATACAATCCTTTGAGGATCGGATCGGCCGCGTCCGTCTCGAAAACGCGAAACTCGGGCGGAATGTGGGGCTGTGGGATCTTGCGTTTACGATTAAACCGCTTTTGCGGCTGGTTCTCGGCCTCTCGCTTTTGTTTTTTATACTTACGTAGCTTGCGAGGACCGGAACTGGCTGCGGCGTGGCGTTTGTTGGACAGCACACGCACTTGCTCGTCATCGGACGAGCTTACACTACTAGAGGACGAAGACGAGCTGGAGGACGAACCGCTGGAGCTGGAACTGGAGCTGGAGCTGTTGCTTTTGTCCGGTATCACCACGGTATCTCCACTCCCGTCACTGTTGATATCGGCATTGTTATCGATTCTGGGAGGTAAATCTGTCAGATCGACGCCGTTGAAGCCGAAAACGTCGTCGGTGGTGTCGGAAGTCACGTCCAGTACCGTAGGAGCTTCAATTGCAGCCCCGTCGTCGTCGTCGTCGCCATCAAACCACTGATACTCGCGGTGATCCGTCAGATCGGGCTCGATATCGGCGTCGGTACCGGTATCATGTTCCGGAAGCAGCTCGTGGTCGTCGCCTTGGTGAAAGTCGAGCAGCTCCATGGCCTCGTCCGCGCTAAGATGCGGCATTAAGGGGCTGGTGGCGATTTTTACGGTTTCGGCCAAAAATACATTTTCAGCCAATGACGTGACGAGATCGTTTACTGTTTGTGTCACTTCCGCATCGATTAGTCCAGGACTATAATTTAGTCCAAATTGGTCCTCGTTGGTCAAAGACACGTCTTCTGTAGACATCTCAGAGTCTTCGGCTGTGTCGACCGATAGCTGGACCTGTTCGTACTCAGCTGCAACAGTTGCCTCCACTTTGTGGGCCACAGCGTCGGATTTGGGCTCCGTATCGTCTTTATCCACCTCCGTCTCCACGCTATGAGCTCCATTCGCAGCCTCGTCACCGCCATCCACGTCCATAACCACCGTCTCCATCGCCACGTCAGTTTTACCATCACTCTTACCATCACTCTGCTCTCCAATGGAAACAGCGCCACTATCCATCGACATTTCCTTAGACTCCGCAAGCTTCAAAGCTCCAGAAGCGGCCTGCACGAGCGTCTCGCTGTTATTCACTGTCCCTGTCTCCCTCTCGTGTTTATTATCATCCACGTCCATTGGGTGCGGCACGTCCGACGGATCTGGTGCTCTGTTGTCTGTATCTTTCTCGTTCTTCGCCGCTGCATTGCCATTAACGGTAGTTGGGAGCTCACTACGATGCTGCTTCTCCATCCACTCGAACGCGCTAATATCGAGTGTTGTAGCTGTTTGCGTTGGTGTATTTTCCTTGTTTTCTCCAGAGTGCAGCTCTGATTCCACCTTGTCAACGCCATTTATCTGCGAATTCTGCACCGATTTCGACGAGACCTGGTTGGCCGCATGCGCTGCGTTTTCGTCGCCGGAACAAGCCTTCTGTGGCTGCTGCTGTTCCTCCGCCGCCGCCATTATCACATTCCCAGAGGCACTCGCTGCTTGTCAAATCCTTGGTTTTCCGTAGCCACAAAAAGAAGCAAATCTTTAAAAACGTACTTTATCGAGATATCGCATGTGGATTGGTACAATATCAAACGTCTTCTGATTCGCTTATATATTTTTATCATTTACGTCCAATAATACGTAGGAATGATATTTGTGACCACTGGCAGCCGTCACTCGGTATTATTCGCCTTCGGAGGACACTATGATCGTCCCTGTGCGCTGCTTCACGTGCGGCAAGGTGCTGGCCAACAAGTGGGAGACGTACCTAGGTCTGCTTCGCGCCGACTACACAGAGCGTGATGCGCTGGACGAGCTGTCACTTAAGCGTTACTGCTGCCGTCGTATGGTGCTGACGCACGTGGACCTTATCGAGAAGCTGCTGCACTACAACACTGGCGGTACGAGGCTGTGCATTGGGCCAAAATGTCCATTAAAGATCCTGTAATTGACCTATCTGTGTGCTGTATGTGCAGCCATCGAACGAGGCGACGACTAAGTGTACTGACCGGACTTTTGACACGCGTGAGAGCATGGAGACCGAAGAGCTACGGCCGCTCTTTGTGACAGTATTATAGTCTTCCTTCCCTACTTTAAATCGCACCCGACTTCATTTCTATCCATCGTTGTCAACACCCTAACGCTCTAATTTCCCCCGGAACTCTATCTCAACTCTAACTGTATGCTCAGATAAAGACCAATTTCTCGATGAAATCCTGCTCCGAGTCGCGAGGTGCGTCACTCTTGATAAAGCCCCAATGACGCAGCGTACAGATGGCTCGGACGAAGCGAGCTTTAATCGCTGGGTCGTCTCTAAAATCCGCCGTCTTCTTCTTCGAATTGGTCTCCTCTTTCAGCTCGGACGAGAAGCTCTCGAACCATTCTCCAAGACTCAGACTCGCACTGGCGCTCTCCTGATAGAAGAGGAACGCCAGACCTACATCGTGTACCCACGAGTTCTCTGCGGTATTTTCGCCAATACCAGCGTCCTGCAATGCGTTACGGAGATGATCGTGGTACTCGAACCGTAACCTTTCGTCCAATACAGTCGCGTCCTTCAACGTCGACCAACTGGCCACGAGTTTATCAGCTCGAGACATCGACGCTGAAGCAGGAGGATGCAGCAAGACAGAGATGAGACTCGTGGTAAACACCGTAACGATCTCCTCCCGTAACGCTAACAGCATCTTCGCTGATGTCTTCTCGGTTCTGGCATAGGCACAGAGTGTCGCCAACTCGTTTAGAGTCGTCTCCATCGCGTCGTCTTCCAGTGAGCCAAACACACGGAACGAGACTTTCCAATGCTGGATCATCCCTATCAGAACTACCCAATCGCATGTCTGTAAGCGTCGCAGTACTTCCGTAAAGCGTGGGGATTTCCCCAATCGCCCTTCAAGCGCTAACGCCAAGTGCGTTACTGCCACGTCTTCCTGCTTGTCCAGGTCGTTCACGTTGCTATCAATGCGTACGTCCAGCCACGAACAAGACGAGCGGAAACACTCCCACCCCAATCTCCATTGAGCTTGTCGTCGTCGCTCCTTCATTAGCGCAGTCTCTAATGCCGTAACCCAATTCGAGTCCTCGGTTACAGTATCCGTTACCGTAACTCGTGAGGCCAAGTCTGCTAGCTCCAAGTCGCTGCACAGCGCAAGCCACGAGCTCAGAGAAGACTCCTCTGTTCTGTCTTGTGCATGAATTGAACGTCGTCGTTGTCGCTTCAGCCAGATGGAGAGACGCTGCGGTAACGGCGTCATCTCCGCTGCAGCCACAATTGGAGATTCCCCTAAATCGTCGATAGCGAGTGCCAGGAAACTCCAAGGACAACGTCGAAAGTGCGTGAACAATAGAAAACGCAACGCCAGCAGCAAACGTGGCACACTGGGGAGACGACGATGGCGACTGGCGATAGCTCGCAACACTTGACCCGTTAGAGCAAGAGGCAGTTTGGCCTTAACAACCAGCGACTATAACACGTCGTCAAAGCACTTACGGGAGTCCACAAGCGAGAAGAACTGTAACTCTAATCGGTTCGTAACCGTAAGATCCAAACGACGCAGTGCTGGGGACGTCGCGGACGCTACCCCAAGCACAAACCCGAGCGTACAGCTCGTCGCTTTAAACTGCCGATTCTCTCGAGTAAAATGCGTCCAAATCTCCAGGAAATCGCCAAAAACTTGTTGCGAAAAGGCCTCAAGTTGCTCGATGCACAGCACCATAAACGGCTGAGCACAAGACGCTGTATCGTCGCTTTTTAGCACGTAATAGCTCTCGTGTTTGAGCATTTCTTTCTTGACGGATTCCCGGCGATCGTTGATCGATTCGCGATCCAGGGGCCATTCACGCAACAGCGCAGTATACTGCAGATACACTCGTTGCAGTATTTTAGCCAGCGACATCTCAGAGTTGCCAATATGGACGGACGCCGAGCTAGTCGCCGGTGCCACGTTGAGCATCTTGACAGCGACGTCTCGACACGCTACGATCTTGTGTTGTAGCCATGTCACGGCTTCGTCAAGACACGCTATACTCTGCATCACCATCTCGTCGTCTTTAGGGTGAAACATCCTCACCAGCGTCAAGGCTTGTTGAAGTCTGTCAAGAACCAGCTCGTCTAGCATCGCGAGTAACTCGCGACTGGTATCTCCGTTGTGCGGAGACAACAGCTCGTCGATATCTCGCTGTATAGTCGTCAGTAGCTTGGTCATCGTCCACCGACTATACACCACTGACACGTGTTTCTTCCGTCTAGTTTTCTTCCCTTTCTTTTCACCGAAATCAAGATCATCGTCACTATTTTCGGACTCGGAACTCGAGAGAAAGCTGTCGTCACTGTGGTAGTCCTTGTCTTTCTCATCGTCCTGGGTGTCTTCTGTATCACCCGGAGGCTTGGCACGTTGGTGTCTGGTTATCCGATGACCGACACTTCCTACAGCGACGGGAGGTTGGTCTAATGGCAATAAATCGAACTTTTCCACTAACCCCGCTAAATATTTCTCCTCTCGTTGTTTTGTTGCCTTTATTTTTGCCAATCTTGCAGCGAGCCACTCGACGAATCGTCGAGCTGTTGCTACATCTCGTTGGACTTTGATACAAAGAGGGAAGGTCCGTCGTAGTTTGTGCGTTAGAGGCTCAATCCATAGATCACTGGACGTTGCGTCCGTCCCGGCAATCACTGCAGCGGTAGGAAATGCGTGGAGCTCTGGGAAGATCACGGAGGCATTGGGGTCGCGTAGACGTCGACCGGATGGCGATGCACTTCTTGTAGTCGACTCTTTGGCTTCTGCTATTGCCTCGTCGCGAGTGCAATATTTCTCGAAGAATCGAAGTACATGGCTATAGCTCGTGTCGTTACTTTTGCGTAATAATTCTTGCACGGCTCGACGTGTCTTCTCACAGGCAAAGTGATACGCAAGTTCTTGACACACGCTGTATGTCTCAGTGTCGGCTCTGTATTGACGCTCAGAAGAGGTTTTAGAGACCGCAGGACACGGGAACGGATACTGCACTCGCTCGTTGGGGTGTTTTGATGTGATACTTGCAGCCGATCGGCCGGTGGGGTACTGTATCGACACGCCCGTGGAGAAGGCCGCCGTCTCCATTGGCACTTTGCAAAAGATAATGGCGCGAAGGGCTCCCCGTCTAAATTGATCATATACTTGATATTCTACCAATCCACGTGCCGTTGAATTTTTCATAATTTCATCCAATGAAAACTTCCATGAAGGCTTTTGAAGTGCGAAGAGTCACTAAGCGACGATGAGCTCTACACGCGTGCACCGCAGCCACCAGGAGCGCGGAGACGGCGCCGTTCCTCTATATCCACTAAGTCGCACCTCCAGAACATCTGGCAGTGCGCGTACGGCTCGCACAGGCCGAAGAGTGAAGCAGGAGCTTCCGGAGGAACAGAAGAAGGAGCTCAGAGAAGCTTTCGAGCTGTTTGACACTGACAAAGTGGGCTCCATCGACTACCATGAGCTCAAGGTGTTGATGCGTGCTCTGGGCTTCCAAGTGTCCAAGCGAGAGGTGCTGGATCTTGTGGAAGACGTGGATGTGCAACGTAGTGGTCGCGTGGACTTTAACGACTACATGGAGATCAGTAAGATTTTTATTTGCCAAACGCAAGAATACACACAAAACTGACGCATCATGTGGCTGTAACAGTGCGGCGAAAAGTGCTGGCGAGGGATCCAGATGAGGAGATCGCGCGGGTAGGACGCTTGGGCCGCTCGCCTCACGACCCTACGTCCTCAGACACAGACACAGACATGGAATCAGACTGATTGTATCCATTTGCTTTAGGCTTTCGAGCTTTTCGATGAAGACGGAACAGGCACAATCACTCTACGGGTGTGTGTTTGTCCGATAAGCTGTTCTTGCTGTTGATAATATTGAAGCTGAATCGAGTTGCGTGTTGCATGAAAATGGGTTCATGACAGAAAATGCGTAGGGTGGCAAAAGAATTGGGTGAAAACCTTGGCGACGACGAGTTGCAAGTGAGTAAAGAACTTCACACTTTAGATTGACACGACTTTTCTAACTTGTTGCAAAAAACTTCAGGCCATGATTGATGAGTTCGATCAGAACCAAGACGGCGAAATTGACATGGATGAATTTTTCATGATCATGAAACAATCAACAGAGTTTTAGAAAACGAAAAATGACGAATGGCAAATGAAGAAAGAATTGTCCATGGGATTATCGAGATAGCAAAACCACAGTCTTCTCAAAGATAAGACGCAGTTGTCCTGCTACATCCAGCACATAGCAACGTAAGCCTTCCGGTAAAAGATACTTAGTTGCGGTGGTGGTGGTGCTGCTCACGGGCCTTAGGCTGAAACAAACAAAAAAGTTAAGTTAGTAAAATGTGCTCAACCTCAGATCCAAAGACTGGATTGACACTGAGGGAGCCGATGAAACGAGGGCGACCAATGCACATAGCACTGCAACATGCGAGTTACAGCAGGCTCCGCTATAGACAGAGCTCTGCTTTGCTAACGCCAGACACAGACACCATAGCAATAGCTGCGTTGCACTGTCGGCAGCAATGGGTCCACCGCTCCGACCACACGAAAATGGTCATCATCGGCTCCAGCATTGTCTCTCCTTCGAGTGATATCATACCTGGGGCACGTGCACGCCGGCCAACTTGAGGTCGAGGTGGGCCAGCAGGTCCTTGGTGTCGTTGTCGATCTCGATGTTCTCCGTGTCGATGGCCGAGACCTCCGGGACGAAGTCCATGCGGCGCTCACGCTCCTCCTCCTGGAGCTTAAGCGAGATGCCGCGTACCTGGCCGTGCTGGATGCGCTTCATGAGGTGCGTGATGTAACCGGCAATCTTGTTGCGCATACGCTTGGACGGGATGATGGCAACTTCATCGCACACACGCTTGTTGGTGTCGAAGTCGAGAGTAAGACGCGAGTAGTACTTCTCGATGATCTTGACGGCAGAGCCCTTCACGGTCTTGGTACGGACACCCATGGTTGACTAGGAATTCTCTCTTTTCAGAAATGACACTTGTTGCCACAAACTCGTGCAACAAGCCCAAGCCAACCGTTTGGCAACACTTTTTGGAATTAATGGTCGGGAAGCTACGTACACTTTACGTTTTGGAGCACCATACATTTTCATATATGCGAAACATTCAGGTTGAGCCGGCACTCACGTCTAGGTACACCACATAGTATCAAATGCCAAAACACGAAGCGAAAGAGTTGCATTTTCAGGTGAAAACACCTTCAAGTTGCCGATGCATCAGGATAACGTGGAGCAGCTCTGCGTGTTCGAGTTTTAACGCGTTAGTACGCAACTACACTGATACACTGATCCTATCCCTGCAGGGCTCTGCGCCGACTCATTCCTCGGCGTCGTCAACCGTAACCAGTTCGTACTCGACAGCGGAGATGTTGCTGTCCGTGTTGACTTTGGGCGGCGCTGGAGGTGTAGACGCCACACCATCCGGATGTGGCGACAGTTTCCCCCACTGCGTCACGTTAAGCCTCATGAAGCCGTTGAAGATGTCGGCGTTGCTGTTGCGCACCACCACATCAAGTCCTTCCTTCAGCATGTCGATCTGGTCTGTCAAAGCCACACAAAGGCTCGCGTTAGTCTCCGTAATCTAGCATTAACTAGCGCTATGATCGCTATACCATTTCGCGCAGTCAACGTGACGCATCCGGTCTCGTCCGCCAGCACCGCCTCGGCAATACGTGAGATGGTGCCGTCGTACCGCTTCTTCTCCACCGTTGGGGCAATAGAAACCACCTGTAGCACTAGATTGTGTCCTTGCGAGCCTGGCGTGAGGTCCTGAACCTTTACATCTGCATTAATGCAGCAAAAATGCATAACTTTAGCCCAACTAGAAGCAGAAACGATCTGATATCAGCGACTAGTTAGGCAGCAACGTACAGGTGGCACGTCGAAGCTTGCGCGGTACTTCACTTGCTGCAGCCATTGCGAATATGTGTAGAGATGTCTGTTAAGCTAGCGAAAGCTTGAGCGCGGGTTGTACAGCGGCGAGTGGCAACGTCAATGAGCTAATGACCAACGAAGAAAAGATCGAACCGGTTCGTACTCGATGATTGGCTGAAATATTTCATATCCGACATGACCAGGAGTTGAACCGGTCGCCCGCTTTCAAGATCCCCTCGACCTCAACGCTGCAGATCAAGATCCGAAGGCAGCACGCACAAGTCAAGAAGAGGAAGATAAAAAGACATTAACGGTGTCTTGTATTTGAGTTGAGGATATACGGTGACTGCGGCCAGTCGAAGCGAGCGCTAGCCAATAAAAAGAGATACAAAATGGACAAAACCCGACTATAGGACGACGAGGCGATATGTACACGCGCGGAGCAGGCAGAGCCAAGGGCGTTGCGCTCTCTATATCGACGCAGCCTCCAGTACGTCGTCCCTGTTTGGATGTACCGTGGGCTGCTCGTCCTGCTCGACGGACCCTTCGTCGCTTGTTGCCACGTCGTCTTGCATCGCGTCTTCTTGCTCTTCCTCGCTCTCCTCTCCAGCGTTGTCATACGCCACCTCATTGGCCTCTTCCGTCTCCTCCTCGCCGTCCTCGTCCTCCTCCATCTCGCTGGAGCCATACATAAAGTCAAAGTCGATCTCGTTGGACTCGCGTCTGTTCTGGATGATGGCGTTCACTTCAGCTTCCACTGAGGCGATCACGGGCTCTTCGCAGCCTGCGTTGTTCAGAATAACCTCGCGTTCCTGCGGGTCTAGATACCCTTCCTCCATGTAGTTCTGTCGTCCCACGCGGCTGTAGAACACACACACACACACACACACAAGATCTCAGCATACAGACGTAGTATCTAAGCTAACGCATACGTACTCGTTCGCTCGCTCTATTTCGAATGAGTCCAGTCGTCGTCGCGATCGAGATCGCTCGTTAAGCGACAAGCCCACGGGCACGCCGCCAGACGTGACACTCGTCGTGTACACTGTAGGTTCGAACTCCACGATGTCTGCACATTCGAAGAACACACGCCTTCGCTTTTTGTTCGGCCGCTGTTCACCAGTAGCGACGACGTTGTCGTCCGTGACGCCGTTAGCTTTCCACTCGACGTTCTCAGTGTCCAGATCCTCCTCTTCTGGCTGGACATCCACGTCCTCCACCTGGTTTAGACCCAGATCTATCGCAGTGCTGGTTGGACTGTCGGAGTCTGACGCAGGCGCCTCTTTCGCTTCCTTAGTAGCCGCTGTGTCGACAGCTACACTCATCAAGACGCTTTTACTGCCATTAGGAACCGTAGCGGGCGAGCTGGCAGGCCCAGAAGAAGGAGAAAGCACCACAGTGGTCATAGTGGGGGGGGTGCTGGAGCGTACGAAGTGGATCGCGATCGGGGAACGAAGGAGAGACTCGCAGCGGCGGGGGCTGTGTCTCCTTGTCAGTATAGAGGAGGGAAGCGTGCTTTGGAGACAGAAGCGAACGGTGGAGCGCGCGGCGGATACCGAGTTTGAAAAATAAGGAACCGCACGCTGATTGGTCTGCCTCATCGCTGCTGCTGAACATGTGGCGGGCACTCTTCCGAGGGATCCATTTCTAAAGACGGATGTTGACCTCGATACTATGGACCTTTTATTAGATCAGCACATTAAGTTTTACAGGCTCGGAAAGCACTCTCCTGGTTTTTGCGTCAATGGCTCGTCTCTATTGTTTGGCTGTCCGTCAATCCTAGGTATAGGTTAAGAGGTTTCTGGTACAACACACAAGCTCCTGATTAGGATCGCAAATTTTCACATGACGAAGATCCTCATGACCAGCATCATGCTGGGCAAAGCGCTCGCGGTCTTCACGACCTCAAGCGCAGTTGTCGCGTACCGCGGGTCAGACGAGCGAGGAGAACATGGCGTCGTCGTCGTCGTTGTAGTTGTCGTCGTTGAAGAGCTGCAGCCATGTTGATCCCGAACGATGCGGGAGTGTCGGCAATCGACAACGAACGTTCTCAGCCAGTGGTGTCGCAATGCAGCATCTCAGTGCAATTGTGCTCATGTAAAAGTGTCGCCACAGTCTGCCGCTCAGGCGCAGCGAATACTGAGTGCCGTGAACCGAATTGACGCACGTCAACGCCGCGCGTGTCGAGATACTGTAGGGACACGCAGAGATTTGCACAGTGTAGGTCGCTGCGCTGTTGAAGTCAGTGAGCAAGCAGCAACAGCCACGGATCCGAGTTGACAACTCCTGCTCCGTCTCGGCTTCGTGTCTCTGATTTGCAGGGACCGCGGGCAATGTCGTGACAACAAGTGCCAGAGCGATTTGTCAAGCTCGCTCGCCGCTGCTTCCAATCTCGCTCCCAGAAGTTTGAGTCAAAGTGTACACAAGTGCAAACGGGATCTTGGAACGTGGACCAATGTTTGGTCCAAACAACAAGACCGATGGTAAATACGCCGGCTGTAACAAGCAAGCACTTAAATCTACAAGTGCTGCCAGCAGAGAGCCGTCGCTATACATGTAATAACGATACAATCGCAGCACCAATTCGCGATCAGAGAACGGACCTCGTGTCAAAAGTTCAATCAGTGCGAGAGTGGTCGAGTGTCTGCATTCATGCTGTTGGCAACAGTGTTGCGGGACACACCAAAAAGTTCTGCTTCAGTTGCTGCTGGATGCAATCGTGCCACTCTTGGTCCGTATCTCGACCGGTACAGCGTACCTTTTCCTGCGAAAGTGGATATTTTGTGCTAAAAAACGGCCAAAGAGTCACTTTCGAAACCCGTAATAACCGATGGTCCACCACCCAAGAAAGTGTCGAGAATTCCTTTCCTGGTTTTGAAGTCGGGCTCAAATCGCGCAGCTGGGCTCAGATCGACGCCGGGATCGACGGCCTGCTCGCCAGCGTCGAGATTCTCGACTCGAGATTACACAGAGCGAAGGCGCTGGCAAAAGTTGCAAGCCAAGAGTTCGCTCTCCGTTTGCAAGCACCCAGCCCCTCTCTAAAACCGAAAGAAGGCTTCCTGCAGTAACGACATGGCCGGAACCTTCCAGGTCGTAATTTTCTCACACAGTCGGATGTTGGGACAAATCGGAATGAACCCGACGGCAGCGAGTCAGCGGCGTATACTGTACATGCACGGCGAATCCGTTGCTCAAGCGACGCATGCTAGTGGATAGTGGAGGTAATCACGCCAGCCTTCCGAAACTGCGTTGCAACTTGCCTCGTTGCAAGTAGGCAGGGTCGGAAGGCAATGGGCCGTTGCTGTGGCGAGTTGGGCTTCTTAGGGTCTAAGAAACAGCAGTCCGTTTCGAGGCGTCTTCGTGGCAAGCACTGAAAAAAATGTCAAAAATGTGCCGTCCTAATGGTTTGCCACGAATCAACAGTGCCCGAAAATGCAAGATGTGTTGCGGCTGATTTGTAGGACTTCTTCGGCAGGACAAGAGCTCCCCTTTTATAACCTGTGCCTCAAACACGGGTACAGTACGATATTAACACTGGATTGTACAGAAGACACTCGAAACAACATACACTTGGATGTGTATGTTGCAGCGGGGGCTTCAAACGCTCTCTCTGGTGCCTTCAGGCTGTTACATCTCAAGGCCAGGCAAAACGAGAGTACTGTATCGGTCCGATACTTTTAAATAATACAATATCGGATACCGCAGTGCCAATTTGATGACACCCCATCTGGGCAACAACACCGGCGTGTGCATGTACCAGCGCTGACATCAAGACAGACCCTGAAGTCTCTTCTGCAATCGCTCGCGCCCACCGTTGCATACAAACCGTCAGTCAAAAAACGGCTGACGCTCCGTACCTACTGTAAAACCTTAGGCTGGCCAAGAAGCGAGAAGCGAGAGGGGTTCCTCCCCCTGATCATGCAACTGGAATTTCCAAAGACGCAACACCGATGGCACAACCACTTTCTCCCTCTGCACGCATTTATTCCGCAATTCGCCGCAAAGATCGCAAGTATTTGCGGGTGTGTGAGTGTGCGTGCGTGTTATCAATAAGTTGAACCCTCTGAATCAGACCCCGCTTAGCCACCCACGCCAGACAGGAAGCATGTCGGAGTACTCGGAGATGGCACACAAGCACCTGGCCAACGCGCCCGGCAGCGCCGTCAACGACAGCTACAACCCGGTCTACCAGCCGCAGATGCACATGCAGGCGCCGCCGCCGCAGCACCCCGTGCGCTTCCAGGAGCTGCCGCGCTTGCAAGTGCCTCCTTTCGCACTCACGCAGCAGTCTCCGGCGTGGAAACTGCCGCAGGAGCAGCCAGCGCCGCGTATGAGCGTGTCCAACCTGCTCTCCGCGAGCTTCCGGAGTCGCGCCGCGCCACAGCAGGCCCCTCTTCTGACTCCCCCGTCGCCTCCTGCGCCAGTACAAGCGCCTCGTCGTCTACCGAGTTTCGCCGACATCCTGGCGCGTACCAACCTTCTGCACCTAATGGGTCGGTCGAGCGAGCCCACGGCCGCCCCCGCTCCCGCCCTTGAGGCGCCAATGGAGGAGGAAATGCACATGCAACAGCCGGAACAGCAAATGATGGCTCCTATGTACCCGCCACAGCCACTGCAGCCCATGGAAGGCAGCTACACGGCGTACGCGCCATCGCGTGTGGACACTACAATGAACATGGACACGTCGTCTTCTATGGGCGACGAGTTGCCAAGCCCCATGGGCGCCGCGTCACCTGTGAGCCAAACGAGTGAAACGAATAAGCGACGTGAACGCTGGACAGAAGACGAACACGCTCGCTTCATGGAGGGGCTGAACCGCTACGGTCGCAAGTGGAAGAAAATCCAGACTTTTGTTAAGACCAAGACGGCCGTGCACGTGCGCACGCATGCGTACGGCTACTTTGCCAAGCTGTTGCGCAATATGCCCGAGGATGACGCAATCTGGGAGCTCGCGGAAGAAATGAGCTCTCTGCCCGGCGCTGTACTGAAAGGCCCGGGCAACGGCAAGCGGCGTAACGAGCCTAAGACGGACGAGGCCGGCATGGAAGTGCTCCGCCGCTTCGTGTTCTCTAAAAAGAAATCCGAGGACAAGAAGCAACTGCCGGCAAGTGAGGACCGCGAGAACGTCGAGATGGCCGAGTCGACGCCCTCCAACGCCAACGCGCAGCAACCCACGGGGTCCTGGAGCTCCACGCAGCAGTGGAAGGCCGACGACTCGGACGCGCTGCTGGAGATCAAGCGTCAGCGCCTGAATTAGTATATTTTTGCGGCCCCATGAGTGAAAAATTGTAGGCATCAGAATAATAGGACACACAAAAGATCACGGACGTGTATAAAAACGATATGCACTCGGCAACAATCTATTTACCGGTATTTGAAGCATGCAAATTGAATTGGTGCGTTCTCAAAGGAAGGAGGAGGAAAAGAAGATTTCGTCCACGTGGCGATTGGTTTGCTTCAGGCAAGTGCAATTTTACTTGTCGTTGAACAGATGAAGTTCAAACGAACGCAGCGATTAATACTCCTTGCAACGTTCATCACTGGCACAATTCCGCGCACCGGTACATGTAAAATCCGCGATGGTACAGTACAGTGTGGCACACTGTGTGCCGCTTGGAATCAATTGAATCAAGCGCGCAGCTGCGCCTTTTGTGGCTCACAGCGCTCGACGCGCGCAGGGAGCGGCCACCAGATAAATTTCTTTCGCGTTTTTGACTGTGAAGCTCACACTGTGAACTGTTCTACATACATGCAATGTACAGTACTTTGTTGGGTGATTACAAGCACTACGTGGAGATGCCATACATCTCATTTCAGAAATTTGTTGATAGCAATCCAAGATTACAGTAACTGAGTCGGTAGCAGAGGCTCTGCGGCAAAGTCCTCGCTCATGGTATTCTGAGAGCTCGTGAGCTTGTCGCATTGCTGAGATGACAGCGTCCGACGCTTGTCTACAGTAGCCGTTGAAGTACATGTACGTGTACTACTTCAGCGACATGCTCTACATTCCGTTGCTACAGAACATTGGAGAAGTGTTGATGCATGCATTGAGTCGATGTACATGTACGTGCCTCCTTACCATTTGTCTCTCTGCTCTGGCTTACACTGCTGTGTGTATACGTATTACATGTAATAGGACGATTGGCTTTACAGTACCATATATTGTATATCGTACTCAAAGTGTCAGAAAAAGGTACTTTTCAACTAGGATACATGTACCGTATTCCGTATGTGATTGGCGACGCTCGGTCATTAGCGACAAATCCAGCAGCCAATCAAATTGATTCAAATTTCGTGTCGTCGCGCTTTATGTGCTTGGCGACCAATATAATTTTGAGCATGTTATATAGTTTTTTTTATGCAGGTATCTTTTATGCTGGCAGAAAGGCTGGACCACCTCAAGAATTTGACTGTCGCCAATCACATAAGGAATACGGTATTACAACATGTTTTGTAAAAGTTCCCATGCGTTCCTTATTGCCGCACTTTTCAGTATACTCAAAGTGCATATACTTGTCAATTTGTTCTGTATCATGCTTACGAGGATAGTAGTTCCCATGAGTTCCTTATTGACGCACAATACTGTATACCACTTCTGCACTCCAGTATACCGTAATATAGTACTAATAAATACGCGATCACACTGTGCGAGTCGCACTGCGGTCACATGAGGGATATTGGTGGTATGGTATGCTGACATCATTGCTGAAGGCATCATCTGCGCTCAGTGTTAGCTGAAGTCTGCTCGGACAACATTCACGCTGATTGAATTACTTCGGCTCGTCGTAATTTACTGTGATCTTACGCATCTGCCATTTACTGACATATAAATTTAGGTAAATATCAAAGTGTGGCTAACTTATTTTTTGCAATAATTGGTCAAAACAATATTATTGATTAGTCCTGTATTGCAATGTATACTGCTGAGCTTGAAAACGAAAATTTAAAAGCATAGTTTATTTTCCAACCTCTGCTACCGACCAATTCCTAACCGATGCTGCAGCCCTAGTGAATACAGAGGAGCTAGATATGCTTCGTAAGAGCAACACAATATCTCTGGCCAAAGATTGATAGCTTGGAACACTTACAACTATGGAGTAGCGTACAAGCCGTTCGAAATCGTCAATACAGATAGTTATCGATGTTCTCTGGATTTTATATCCAGAGTTCTAGGAGGCGACTCAAAACTCTAACTTCTTATTTTCAGATAACGTTTTCAGCTCAAACTTTAATAATAATGCTTCAGCACTTGATACGCTTGTTGTATAAGATCTACACTAGATTGTCATACTTAATTTAGTGAGTTTTCTTCTCTAAACTTGCATAATCTGTCATTTCAGCTAGTATCTGACACCCAACTTCCCTTTAAGCAAGGATAATGGTTAAGTATTTCTGATATCCTCTGCACAAGTGATGTCACCCAGGTAAATGTTGCTTGTGGGGGCCATTCCGGACACCAGTCCGGATGGTCTCCGTACGGACTGACTGAGTCATGCCGGATGGAATCCGGCCAATCACGGTCAGATTATTATTTCCGGATGACAGTGGATAGGCTTAAATGGCAATTCAATGAATTGCAAATAGATGGCTACCTTGCGACAGTCTTCTTCGCTGTTCATTCAGCGATTTTCAGGCGTACCCTTCAAGCCTCCAGCCACAGCTCCAGCTCCAGACCACAGTGCGTGCCTTCTCCGACCCCAACGCCCCCGTAGCTCAGCGGTAGAGCGGGAGACTACGTATCCAGGCCGCTGGTTCGAAACTAGCCGGAGGCAGATAGTTGTAAGCTGTGGTGCGTGGATTGTGTTTGTGTTGTACTCTATGATGTGTTTGTAATAGCTGGTGCTGTGTGGAGTGCTATGGAGCGACGCGTGTGATGCGGTATATATATGTACATGCTGAAATGTGCATTTGCATGTGTATTGCTGGATTGGGCGCGCTGTGCTGTGTGTTGTGCGTATGCTGCAGTGTTGTGTTGTGCTGTGCGTGTGCTGCTATGATGTGTACTGTGTGTTGTAACATGTTGTGTGCATTGTGTGTGGTGTGTGATGCTTTGTAATGTAGGCTGTACTGATTGCTAAGCTATCTACAGTGGTGAACTGCCGTTTAATGGTGTTGATGCTGGTGAGTGCTGTTTGCCCGTGCTTATGTTTGCTGTACTGTGCTGCCCAACGGCTTGTTAATCCAAGTCAACTGCTGTACGCAGCAGGCGCCAATTCTTGCGAAGTGGAGAAGATTTGCGAGTTGAATTCCTTTGGTCGAAGGCGTGGAGACGCTGGTTTGCGGCTGTATCCAGCTTGAGTGCCAGCTCCCAGACTACGTGCTTCCAGACCTTGTAAGCTGCGCGGCTCGTGGAGGCTGCTCTGGGACTTAGTATGGCTTCTGGTACAGTACCATCATTATGTTCACTGCTGCCTTTGCTTCGGCACGCTGGTTTTGTTCCTTTTACCTTTAACCGTTTGCCATATGTGGTTAGTGTACCAGTTGAGCAGGCATCCAGCAAGGGTGGAGGCTGACGCTAAAGCTGGGACGGTAACCTCACCAGCAGTAGGCAGCTGTGGCGACTGCTGATGCGTCTGAGTACTCCCTAAGGCTTGGCTCTGCATCTGGGCTTGCGAGTCTTCAAGGCGACCTAGTCGCTCGCTGATGTTCACAAGCTGGGCTAACATGCTGTTAAGAGTGGATGATAGCAGCGTGTCGTTACCAGCGACAGCATTGCTAAGCGGCACGTGGTTTACCGTCTTCCAGTGAGCTCTCAAGTACGCCCCCCACTCACAGCATGTTCGTATCGGGATGCAGGAGCCAAGACGAGCGTTGGAAGAGGCGATACCGCGATGCAGCTCGTACATGTAGCGCGACGGGACCGAGGTGCTGGTGGTGTTTTCGATGTCGATGCGAACCTCATCCATGTGCATTAGCAGCGATGCAAACGTGCAATCAGCGACGTCCAATGCGACATTAAATCGAGCGTCTTGGAAACCAAGTACGTGGCGGTACAGCTTGTCTCAAAGGGTTACAAGCTGACCAAACTCCAGTACCGTCAAACGCTGCTGCAGGTCACGAATTGTCGGCGTTACCACAGGTAGGTCTGGAGCTTGGTACCCTGCTAACACTTTGGCTACGCTCTGATCCTCCTTTGTTGTCGTCCCAATGTAGGCAAACGTCTTGGTTAGTGACTCCAACAGCCAAGCCCCGCGAGTAGAAATTCACTAAAATCGACAGCTTCGGCTACGCATTGGCGTACGCAGCGGTATGGAGTGGCTGGTCATATTCAGCGTCACCGTTTGGCTGAGAGCAGGAGGCATCGACTTCAGCGAATCTCTAATGACCTCGGTAAAATAACTTACGATATTTGGTCTCTTCCTCTCTCGCTTTTGGGGCGGCTCTGACGTGCTGTTATCGTCTTCTAATAGTTGACCCCAGTACAAAACAGCTTCCTCTTGTGAATACGGTTTATTCCCAGGAAGGTCGGACTCTGCGGAATTAGGTGCCAACGAAAACAAATATTCAAAGGGTTCATCGTAGCAGATAAACAGCAACCCGAATGCGTGAAGCATACACTGCTGCCATCTCTCCGGGGACTTAAATATTGAGACGCCTTGAACCATAGAAGTTTTGATCCGGGCAATGCGTAGGAAAAGATCGTCAGAAGCTGAAATCGAAAGCTGTTGCTTACGTGCAAAGCAGGTATCGACAGCTCTCCCAAATGTATGCCACATCATAGTCAATAGAGCCGCATCATGTACAGACTTTAAACCGGTAGCCACGTCAGCTTTCGCAATTAGATACCCAACGAGTACACTTAGATCATCCACGTTACACGCAGGACCGTCATTGGTTTTACATTTGCGCACAAATTCCTCTCTTCTATGTAACTAGCCATTTTGTCCCGAATCTTGGCAATTCTCTTAGAGTCGCCAAGAGAGTTGGTGTAGCGCTCGCGAAGCATGTTCACAACTTGTGAAAAATACCCTAGCGCTGTCGATTTTGCTAGTAGTCCATCCGCCGCTCTCGCCTTGTTGCTTTTCTTCGTCTGTATGTAAATCGAAAAAGCTGTTAGCAATGAGTATGTTCTGGGTCGGGAGACTAGCTAATTCTCTATGACCTTTATGTATGTCATCTAAATCGACTTTCGATAATCCTATTGAAGTGAGGAGCTCCTCAAACACCTTCTCCACCGCAACCTCTTGCCCTATTGTGCCAGCAGGGGTGTTGTGACGGGGTCACACAGCACCTTGCGCTAGAGGAAGTTATCTTCCGAGAGTATACAAACTCTCAGTGAACGGCAGTTCACAGGTCCCCTCTTTAATTAAAGAGAGCGAAGTGACCTAAATAAGG